TCCCCTCTTTTTTCGTACCATTTTTTTTTTCTTTTTTTGTACGTAGAAATATGCGAGCGACCGTCTCTTAGCTTCGTTCGAAGCGAAAGCTCTCGAGAAGCATTCGAATATAAGCTTATTTAAAATAGATGTTGCAGCGCACACACGTGAAACTGTTTCTCCCGGTCAGCGTGGAGGATCAAGATCGGCGTTGTACATATTTGTATATACGTATTCCGATTGTATTCCCGATAAATTTGCCAACTTGTATTTACAATCCTATCCGATCAATAAAACACGCCAGAAACTGATAAGATCGTTCGTGATCGTTTCTATGCTACACTACCCGGCGAGATCACACTGATGATTGTGAGCTTCCGTCACGTGAATCCATTTCCAAAGGAAATTCATTCTTTTTTCTTCTTTTCGAAGTTTACCTTCTTCCTCTTTGTCTTCTTTGGCTTCTCTCATTTTTTCCTCTCGTGTTTTTTTTCTCCAATTGCATAAGAGAATTCCGGTGAAATGATATCCACGATTATTCTTTTGATATACGAGCGAACATAACCGCTGACCTCGATCTCCTTGTAGGTAACAGTGGATAATTTAATCCTGTCCCCTTAGACTAGTGTTGTGGTTCGGAAATCTGAGGGAAAAAAAAAAGGAAGGAGGACATAGAGGGATGAGTTACAACGGAAGAGTTAAGAGACTGTCAGCTGTTTGAAACGGTCACCATTCAATGGAAGATAGATAGGTATATTTAATTTCTTCGAAGAGATAATTCCATGGTCAACAGAGTAGATATGAAGTTGATTGATATGAAACATTTTTTAAATGTAATTAATCGTATGGTAATAACGTTAGCGTGTAAATATTATAATTAATGTCTTTTAAATACAGTTGATTATCGCATTATTTAATTAGCTTCTTGAAAATGTCATGCCTTTAATTGAAGTAATTATTTCTCCAATGAACGAATTCCAAGATTTATAAGAATTATTAGTTTCAAGATTTAAAAGTTCCTTTGCTCGATGTTTAATGTAATTGTATATTTTTGTTAAAGGGATCGATTCTGCATAGGAATTCACTTCGTCTGTTAAATATTACAATGCGTGCTTTACTTTAGATGTTTTCTACAATTTTACATATTACGTTCCGTAGATCTTTGAAACTTCTACATTCTCAAAAGTGCGTCTAATAATAATATTTAATTTATATAATAATGTTAACTAAAAGTGCCTTGGCGTTACTGGTCTCATCTATAATAAAATTGCTCGGAGTGCAAGGGGTTAAAATAACATCTCTTCTCACTCAAGTATCACAATATATCATCGAGTAAAGTATTCGAAGATCGAGCCTTTTCGAATCTCATTTTCTTGAATCATGTTGTTTCCCACTTATCACGCGCCGTGTTTTTACTTCACCGAACATAAAAACTTAGATGTGAAAATATGATATGCAAATGAAACCACTGTATACTATGTCGCTGGTTCATACTTTCGATTTCGTTCTCCTCTGTTTTGTTCTCCTCCATTCCCAATCACGATTTCGTCTTCCGTTCCGGTAGATTTGACGCATTAATGTTTCCGACGAAATGAATTTGCCTGGTCGTGAATAAGGGGAGCAGAAGAGAAGAAGGAACTTGGT